CACATATGAAATGCTGTCAAGGCTACATGATGAGAAGGAAGCACTGTGGGTATCTCTGGCCTCTCTAAAATCAGATATGACTCCACTTACAGCCGATGAGTTTACCATCATAGGAGAAACACATCTTGTTCTTTCTTCTTTCCATCAAGTTACAGTGGAGTTGTCTGTAGAGAGTCTAGTGTCATGGTCAAAGGTCATCCCAATGATGAAAATGCTTTATATGGCACTAGAGTGCAATGGTTTAACCTTGCACACTGAGGCAGCAAGAGACCTACATGAACACCTGAAGCCTTGAGTCACAGACTCTATTTCTAACCTGGAGTCATTAAGTGTGTTGACCCTGGCGACACTTCTAGACCCCAGGTTTAAATCGAGTGGGTTCTGCAGTTCCTCAAAGTGCAAAGAGGCCATCAGCGTACTGTGGTCCTAACGTGCATCTGTAATTGGAAGCACAAATGAGCCACTGCCAGGAACATCTTCACAACAGCAATCTGCCGCCACTTCAGGCATGATATTGAGGATTATTTGTTTGTTGTTTATAAATCATGGACTAAAATGCAAATCAGTTTTTTTGTTTTTTAGATAACCTTTGGGAACATCTTGACATTGAAGTGGGGAGGCAGACCAAAAGTGCCACAGTTGATGCCACCCAGGAGATGCACAGATACTTGGCAGAGGGAAATGTTGCTAGGTTCCAGGATCCTCTTGTATCGAGGAAAAACCCAAAGATTGTCTATCCAAACCTCTTCCGCCTGTACTTATAATTTCTCTGCACTCGAGCCTCATCTGTGCCGTGTGAGCGGGTGTTTTCCACAGCTGGAAAAGTGATCTCAAAAAAGCGTAACAGAGTGAATTTCAAAACTTTGGAACAACTTTTTTTTTTTTTTTTTTTTATAAAAATTTGTAAAAAAAAAAAAAAAAAAAAAAAAAAACATATTTAGAGGTTATTACAAAATGACACAGATTCACATTATTTACTGACTGTATCTAAAATATCAAAGATGTTTTAAATTGAAATGAAAATATGAAATTATACAATGCA